GAGATTAGCAACAAACTAGAACTGAGAATCTCGAAAGACTTTAGAAGGGCTTCATGAGAATGATTGATCAAGAATACTCAAAGGACTTTACAAGTGCCTTAAGAGAGAATTCATTACTCACAAAACTTTAGAAATAGTAGAGTAAGATCAATATAATCAAAGGGCTTTAAAAGCACCTTGAAACTTAGTGTTTGATGCAATTACCCCATATAGGTATAGAATTCACCAAAGGCTTGGATTGAATCCTATAAATTTCTATTAAGTTAGAAATAAACCTAAGACTTACAAGCATACTATATACTATTAGATGGTAAGGGAATAGTGTCTTGTAAATTAGATACGACAAATCCAAATTCCAAATAATGGTTAGAGGCCATAAAATTCAAAAAGACTCCATGTTTGAAAATCATGTTTGAAACTTGATTAATTTGCAAGAAAGGTAAAGACTCATCAATTGCAAATAAGTTTTCAAGGAGAAAACTAACAAATTTGGAAATGTATATGCATACATAGCTAGATTGGTTGAAAAGGTTGCAATTAAATTCACGGTGTTAATTTAATAAAACCTATTCACTAATCGGAATGCTTAAGTCTTTTCGTGATTATTCTAGCAAAATTGCGCATATGAAATATGGCAAAATAGATATCGAAATCGCCTTTCTAAAAAAAAGGGATTTTGGAAAAGACTATGGATATAGTCTAAGGGTTTTGTAAATCTAAATAATACTAGATTTGAAAGCAAGCTCAATAAATCCATTGGTGGATTGAGAGAAGCATTGCATGTAGGAACTGGAATGTGTTTTCTCATAAAGTTAGAAAAAGGTTTGGCTTATGGAGAAACATAGAAATTCTTATAGATAAGAAGTTTAGTTGGAGCAAAAGTCAATTTTGTAAAGGTCCAACAAGAAGTTTAGGAACTCTGTTGTGAAATAACTATCAAATGCTAAATGCTTAGATTTGAAAGTATTTTCGAAAATGGACCAAGGTAAGGCGACACTTAGTACATAGTGGGAAATAATCTATTGGATAGACTCAATAAAATGTTTGAACGAGTAAAGAATTTACCATTTTAAATATGAAGGACTTAAAAAAATTTCTACCCATTTGTATAAAACTAAGTAAATGTTTGAACTAAGTACAAGCTAGGCAACTACTAAGTCAAACAAGAAAGACTCTAGTAAGGACTTTCAACCGTATCATATAGCAAATAGTTTAGCAAGACTCAATGAAATTGGATGAGCTAAAAGTTACATGAAAAGAATGAAATTGGGAATATTTCAGCAATTGAATCCATCGTGTATGCTACGATTTGGAATCATCACATTACCTGCATGCTTAGAGCATGACAAGTATAAAATACCAATCAACTTGAATCTAAGCAATGAATCGTTAGATTATGATCAAGAACATCCAAAGTGCTTAGTTAAGTAAAAGGATGAGTTCTTGATGCATGGAAACAAATATAATTTGAGTATAAATGTTGCGAGCACAACCTTAGCAAGAATCAGATCCTTAACGAGGAAGCCATTTATAAGCACGAGCTTAGATGCGTCGTGGCTTGAGAATGGTAACATGGACTAGCATCCATATGCAATGTGCGGAAATTTAAGGTAAATTTTCATGAACACCAATGATTAGGGTATCCTAAATCATTGTGAACAGGTTGGACTAAAATCCAAGCAAAACATCATTAGGAACTCTTTTAAAATATATGTTGAGAACATTGTTGCCTTAAAGGAAATAATAAGGAAGTTGTTCAATGGATAGTTCGTTGTTGAACTTTAATTTGATGATTGTAGGTTGTCAAGTTGGAGATCTCAAATCATGAAAATGAGTGGAAAGCCATCACTTGGACAATAAATCCTAAATCGCATATAATCCATAACACTCTCAAATCTTATCATCTTATTATGAGAGTTTTTGATAATGAAGATGCTAAGTTTTGCTAAGTAATCATAATTAAACCTATGCAATAAGTGAACCACAACATTCACAATTGCATAAAAGAAACCAAGCATATTAGATATGGGTGTGATTTCTATAAATGTTTTGTTAAGAGTATTACTCTTATAACATTTGGGAAAACCATTTATCATAAGATGAAACGTTTGAAAGTTTCATAGTGGAAATAAATTTATTAATTATTCCACAAATCTAATTAATTGGGTTTAGAATTAAATAATGAGTCTGTTCGATTTGATGATATTCAAAATAGGGTATCAAGACCATGTCTTGGATAAAGAATGAAACACCTATTAAGTGAACGTTGAATATCATATCAAAATTATCCCTAATCGAGGTCATTTGAAATTTGGACGACTAATCACCACGTGAGATTAGTGTGTAGTATGATTTATAGCACCGTTTCTTGCACTACAAGGACAAAATTGTCATAAATCATTTGCACATGTATCACTTTGGAACTATACCAGATCGACCTATGAGAATACTTTAAGAGATTTAACAATCGTCATAAGTATATTACTCATTATGGCTATCGGAACCTCATTCCTCGACCATAAGTATCGTTAGTTATCTTGTTTGAGTACTAGTCCGCTTTGATGTTGACAAACGTCTACTGTACAAGGGGATAATAAAGGCAACAGTTGGGCGGCTAGGGCCTCTTAGTAAGGGAAGCTGACAATGCGAGACTGGGAATGTCCCCCTATTAACAATACATGACTTTGTTGTTTACAAGGCCTCTCGAAGAGCGAGACTGTGAAAATGCATGGTCGTGCCCAGATGGATTTTAGAAATCATCTGCTCATTGACAGTCGAACTCGGAAATCGAGAAACACTTCTTGACGTAATAAGGATGACAAAAAAATCTTACCTTATAGTTCACAAAGACACATTAAGTGACATAGGAAACGGGCTATACATATAGAGCACACTTGTCTAGAAGGACAAATGGGAGATTGAAAGGAATGGTGTCCTTCAAATAAGTGTATTATTCTGATAGAGGGTTCTGAATTAATTAGAAAGCTAATTATTCAGTGAGGTCAAGTGATCGGAATGCCTAGCTGGAGGCCGCCTCCGATCAATAATATCAATGAATAATTAATACTACAGCTTAATCTTGACTGAACCCTTCGGGTCACACCCGATCGTGTAACCAAACCGAAGCGACGAATTAATCCGAAAGATAAAATACGTCGATAGAGATTTTACGAACAAAGACATCAGATTCCGAGCTTAGAGCATCGAAACCTAGCGTCGAACGTCAAGTCGTTTCAAGGAGTTGATGAGACGACAAAAAAAGTTAAATGACAAGTCATCGGACCTATCCTCGGATTGGCCGAGCCAACCGAGGAGTAGGTCGTGCTAGCTTGCATGGCTGCTAGCCATGGACTAGCCTCGGCAACAGGCCCAGCAGTCGCGCGTGTGCGCTAGCCGGGCATGCCAGCCGATCTAGCTAGCTAGCATCGTAAGGGGGCCTTGCGCGCGTTGCCTTGTGGGCGAGCTAGCAGCACTAGCATCAGCCCGCAAGCATGCGAGAAGACCAATGCTAGCAGCGCTAGCACAAGCCCGCAAGCACGTGAGCAGGCCTAGCAGCAGCCTGCTAGCTCGCGTGGGTAAGGCCGCCAGCTAGGCGAGCCTTGTGGCCCGAGGCATGTGGTCGGTTTTCCTTATGTTGACCAAATATGTGAGTTGGTGGGTTTATGCTTGCTCTCCAAGGATTGGTATGTGGTCCTTACCTACTCCCTCCCTTATGTTGACACTTGTCATTTGACTATTGTATAGCTTATTTAATTTAATTTGGAATTAAATGAATTGCTTATTTTCACATTTTACCAACTATCCCACATTGAAAGATGATGGGAATTCTTGGGGATATTTCCCTATAAATACCCATCATCAGGTATTGGGAAATTCACTTGAGTCGGTGAATTCTAAGGGATCTCCAAAAGTGAGAAAATCTTTGTTCGTAAACTCTAAGTTATTTTGATCTACCCCCGACTAAGCTTCAGGGTAGGGACCAGTTACGGTTCAGTAGCGAGGGTATGAACCGTTGGAGGTTCTCGCACTTGCGGAACTTAAAGCTTTCTAGTTCGAGTTCAATGGTTGAGTGAAATACGCTACAAGGGTGAGCATTCTTTCTCTTCTCTCTCTTCTCTTATGTTTATGTTTATTTTGCATGCTTTTATTTATGTTGTAATTATTATGCATGCGATCTGGTTATCGGGTTTTGTTTCCGCGCGGTGTCCGCAAAACCCAACAATAAGAGTTGGGATTCCATTTTGAAGATCGTTTTTCTAGTGTTGGATCTTCAGTGGGACCAATAGGCTTGATTAGACCCCGATCGTAGAGACGATCGAAAGCGCCATCATAGGATATTCCAATAGGTGTGAACTCTCTTCTGGGTTTCTTGGCTTTTTATGTATCCTTATCGAAGGCCCAGATTTCATTGTCACTGATATTATTAATGTAGTTGCTATGTTAATGGGAAGAAGTGGAAGAAGGATTGTCGTTCTTCCTGCTCTTGCCATTGTTTCCATTGTTATTAGCCTTAGCCTTCAAGAGCTCATCTTCAATGTCAATTCCTATGTCATAGACTACCCTGAAAGTAGTCAATCCTAAGAATTTTAGGTGCTTATAATACTCACTACTACAAAAATTGGCAAAGAGACCTGTTCAAATATGCTTAAGAGACCGCCTCTGAACGGGTCTCTATCTCAGGGGTCTGTTTTTGAAGGCAAAGAGACCAGTTATTAAAGATAGGAGGTCTGTTATGTGAGGTATGAAGTTAATGTTTATTATGGGTAAGAGACCTGTTATTTGAATTATTAGGTATGTTTAGTCGTACCTAACAGACCTCTTATATTTTACAACTGGTCTCTTTGTTCTTTTTTTTTTAAAAAAAAAAATATCAAATTTAATTTCATTCTGTTCTTATTTAAATTTTGAAATTTGAATTTATACTCTTTATTCCAATGGTGGAAAATGGTAAGTTTCAGATTAAAATAATACAAGTACATACTAACATAACCGATGGTATATGAACAAAATCAGCTCTTTGAAATTCCAACAAACAAATGTATAAACTTATCGCATATTTAAAAATATAATTACAATTAATAGTATGGCTTGAGTACTCCATATTTGCTCTCCTTCATTTGAGATGTTCTTTCATCAGATCTGGTATTATAAAAACCAAAGAATTAGTTATAACTACACAATATAAAAAAGGGGTTGAACAAAATATATAATTAAACCATAAATTCACAAGAAAAACAAGTTATTAAAAAAAGGAAATGTATCAACTGTAAGATTGAGCGAAGAAAATCAGGAGAAATTTTAGAGAAAAACTGACCTCATCCTTCTTTGCTTGAACCCCGCAATATACATAAGAAGTTCATCAATACAATATTCAACCTAAAAATAATTTAAACAAAATTAATTTTAGCACACCAATTTAACCCCTCAAAAAATAAATAACAAGATCCCGGCCACAATAATCAATCATCCACTCCCACCAAACCAAACCCACAATCTCAGAGCAACTCAGATTAACAAGACAGGATAAAATAATTTTAAGAACTACTTACAAAATACCCAATCAAACTTACAAACTTACAAAATACCCAATCAAGTTGGTTCGATCTGCCTAACCGGTTGATTATCTCATTGTTCATTATAGTGGTCAAATAATTTTAAGAACTCCTTACAAAATACCCAATCAAGACGCATGCAAATCCAAAAACAAATTTTATAGAACTTTCAACAATTTCAAGATTAACAGTTCAAATTACCTTATAAATCAAATAAATTTAACAAAATAAAAAATAAAAATGTAACATATCAACAATAAAAAGTGTAGTATTGCAGTAGCACCATCGTTGTGGCGTCGTCGTAGCATTGTTTTCGTTCATATGCAAGATTAGATTAGGGATTTTCTAGCATTTGGTCTTAACAATTTAAGATGGAGAAAGTTGTGAGGAAATAGAATGAAATTACTACATAGTAGATTAGAAAAGGAATATGAAAAGAGTAGTATTGGAAAAATAAACATGCACTGTATAAAAAGAATATACTAGAAGGTATAGAGGTGTGAGGGAGCCCGTCAAATCCGTGATGTAACACAAGGCCCGTGAAAAAAATGCAAGGGATCCGTTAGTTTAATGACGGGTCTCTAGCTATCTTATTTTTTAATTCAATAAAGGTAAGAGACCCGTTTTATGTAATAAAGGATCTCTTTCATGAAACAAACTTGTTGGCTAAAGTAACGGCTCTTTAATTAGGGGTCTCTTTTTTAAGTTTTGTAGTAGTGACTTGTCTTGAAGGTTTTTAATGAACATTCTCACAGAGTCTTTTTCGTCTGGGGTCTTAATCATCCTAACAGAAACTTCCTTCCACCTAGTATAAAATTCGGTGAAGCCTTCATTGTCCATTTGCTTCAAGATTTCGAGCTCTATGTGATCAATCTCTACTTGTACGTTGCACTGGTATCTCTTGATGAAAGTAGGTACAATGCTCTCCCAAGTAGCAGTTTCTTTGGAATCCATGGAAAAGAACCATTGTTGGCACACCGCTTCTAATAAAAAAGAGAAAATAGAAGGAAAGAGTTGTTTATCAATCCCCTTGATTTCCATTACTGTTTCGAAAGATCTCAAGTGAAAGTAAGGGTTATCCATGGGCTTGAACTTAGGAATGTCTGTGGTAGAGAACTTGTGCGGAAGAAGTTCCTTATCCAGTGAGATTCCCTTGGTACTCACGTCAAGATACTTATATTCATTGGAAACTTGGCTTAGCGTCTCTTGGATGCGCTTGTAGTCTCAAGCGGAACTTGTTTATTAGTATCTTCAACTTTGTCCATTCAAATGGAGAGTCCCTTGACAAGCTCGGCAAGATTCTCCATGGTTCTTTTGGAGATTTTCAACGTCTTCCGTACTGGCCGCCATTGGTTTCTTCTTCCTTCGAACCGTGTTTCTAAAGAAGATCTCTTGTATGTAGGTGTTCTCAAACTAATAGACTCTCTTTCCTTGACCAAACGCTGTAGAAAAGGAAACCATGGACATTTCTTGTCAATCACATGACTCGAACTCGATTGAACATGCATAGATAAGGAAATTCTCGAAAGAACATGGTGTATGAGGAAGAATGATATGCATGAGGCCAGGAAAGCATGTAGGAGCAAAATATGCAGGAAGGCGTATGTGTATAAGTATGTGAATGTGGAAAGTGTTTAAGAAGGAGGATGTAATGTGTGGAAAGGTATGTAATGTATGGAAAGTTATGTCAAGGGAAAGGATGTATTTGTGGAAAGGCATGGAAATTTCCGGGAATAATAAAGACCCTCAACTCGAATGATAGAAAAGATGACTCATGCATGATTCTAAGACATGGTTATGGTGTGAAAGAAGACATGTACAAAGTGTGTGCAAAGACTCGTGTGTGTAAGTGATATTTACAAGACTCGTGTCATGACCATGTGATTAGACATGTAGGAAGATTCATATCAGACCAAGAGAAGACTGTATATTGACATTAAATTGGTTAATCGTGGCAGTAGGACTCGATGTGAAGATGCTGAAAGAAGGACTGAACCATCGCGTGGCGATGGAACTGTCGCGTGACGATGGTTCCATCACAAAGCGACAAGCTTGTCGTGACAGGATGGTTACCATCTCCATGCGCCACAGGTCAGAAGTGACGCGCTAAAATTGGAACATCACAGCGATCTGTTTTCAATCATTCTTTCGAAGTTTTAAGCCTAAAAGTCTTCTAAGTCAAGTATATTCAAACTTTATGGGTTTATTTTCATAAACCAAATTAATTAAGCAAAGTATTTTAGTCCTTTGGGTTAGTATATTTAGACATATGTACAAGAAAAAAGTCAACACAAAGGGTTAGTTTAATCACAAGCAAGATATGCACAAGTTGTCAAGTAGTCACAATATGATGCAATGAGTTTGCCACCTAATGATGGCTCTAGTTCTCTAAGATCAAGTATTTTGGTGTCCAAGAGGGTACATTGTTAAGAGTCTGGATGCATCGCACAGAAGTCTTACCTTAGAAGGGTTGATGCGATGGATGGGACCCCGTGAGTTAAACTCAACTCCATGGTTTGGTGAATTCACAAACTCGAATGCACCCTTTTTTGCACGGAGCATTTAGTAGGGTGGACGGAACGTGTATTCCTGAGGGCTAAAATCACATGTAAAACATATATGGGTTCAGAAAGGTCGAAAAAACTTAATCAGGAAGTAAAATCGTCGAACCAATACTAGAATCAGGCAAAACACAAAGATAAAAAACTGGCTCAGAATCGCCAGAACTTGTCGCTAGACGTCAGTGTCAATCGTCCGGCGATAAAGCTGTCGCGAAGTGACAAGGGCTGTCGTCCGGCATTGGTCACTATCGCCACGCGATAGTTCTGGCGCTCTATGGAAGATTTAATCTTTGATATTTTTTTTCTGATTTTTCGCAGCGTCTTTCCGATTTTAGTTGTGAAAAATATTTTCAGCATTTCCTACGTGTATGTCCTATGTTTTAACGCATTACGGATGGTCGTTCCAATGAGTACCTTTTTTATGCTTATGCCACAATGTTAATAAAAATTACGCACATGAATATCAAGAATCTTTCAAGCTAAGTCTCATCCACTCATTCTAATTACTTGCTAAACAAATTAGGAATTAATTTAGAAATCCTCCCCAGTGGAGTTGCCAAAAGCTGTAGGGAATTTTTCATCTCCACCCTACATGTGGGTTATGTTTTTAAGCATGGCGGTTTAAGGAAAAGAAGCTAGAGAAAAAGAGTCTCCAACAAGTTTTAGGAACTTGTAAAACGTTCTCAATTGTGAAGGTTACACGTCATTCACAATCACTGAGATTGCTAACTCCATAGTGGTCTGGAACCATGACTAGATGTTCAGGGATGATGGTACGAACTTAACCTTAAAGAGGTCAAACCTTCACTAATAGACCTCTACTTGATTCTTTTTTATATTCATGCACGCTTTTCGATCAACATACACACATCAAATTAACCTGAACATGTTTAATCTAAGTTGGTTGATTATTAATGCACAATTAAATTTAATATTGGTGATCACTTGAAGTAAAATCATACTAAACATAAATCCAATTATTAGTTATCTTATTAGGCATGATTTCAATTACAAATTCCCTTTAAACCTGCAAGAAAGAGCGTGATCAAGAAACATATAATTAACATAACAATCATCATTATAAAAATATCATTAGTAGTAAGATCCTAGGCATGATACTAAACAGATTAATAATAATCCTAGCATGTCACTGATAACAAAATCAACATGTTATCCTAAAGATGATACTAATAATCAAAACGTTATCCTAAACATGAATTCTATTCCAAAAGAAAGTAATTAAATTACTTACTTTGATGCCTTGACCTTCTTGCTATAAAATGAATACACACGTTAGTTGTAACACCCCCAAATCTCCTTTACGTAAATACTATAATTATACATATAAAATACCGTAGAGAAGGACTTGGGCGTATTACCGCCACGTGAAAACTTAAGGCTTTATAACTACTAATAATGACAGCGGAAAAATAACTGACTTTATTAATAATATAATAACTATATTATATATTTTGAAAAATATTATAAATAATACATGTATGACTCATGAGTGAGTAAATTCCTAACTAGGTGATCCCAATCCCGACTCAAGTATGCGCACGATCAATTCCAGCCCTGAAATCAAAACTGCTTACCAATAACAGTAAACAGGGCGAACCAAAACAAAAAAGAAAACGGATTAGCAAAAACGCTAAGTACATATAAGTGCAAGACATGTAAATGCTTTTATTAGACAAACATGCTTTTGAAATAATTATTCCAATTCAAAGTTGTCAAAGGTCACTTTCCAAAATTAGACTTTCTAAATTTAAATCTTCCAAAAGTAGTAACGTCCATTAGTAGAAACTTTCCAAACCAATAGATTTCCAATTTAAGATGAATTTTCAAAATTAATTTTCCTCACCTAAGTGTGCACACCCCCCCCCCCCAAGCAAGTTAAACTATAGTCGAGGAAAGACCAGATCATACAAAGTTCACGGTCTTACTTAACCAATCCCATGTAGAGGGACAATTAAAGTACTAAATACTCATGCCCATAATGAGCTGCAAGTTTAAATTAATCCTTTGAATTGATAAGTGATTTATAAACAACCTTTATTAATTTAATTAGCACTTTTAAAGATCAAATAAAATCGAAAAAATTATATTTTTAACTCATTGCAATAAATGTTCATCAAAACACGCATTCAAAAGCCTTGTATCAAGGACCTAGCCACATATACGTACCTTGATCAAGAGAACAATTAAGGTACGACTACTACACTTGACCACGATAAAGGGAATACTCCTACACAATAAAATAACCTTAATTAATATAAGGTTAACAAAATAACACAAAACCATAAACACCATTCTACTTTTGCATGAATTACCAAACCCTTAACCCTTTAAAACAAGAATTATTTTACTAAAACAATAAGCTTATAGTAACATCATATTAATAGTATATAAGATAGTAGTATCATAATATTAGAGTTAGTATTAGGATCATATAATATATGTATAGTACGTAGTATGGTGTTGCAAAACAAGAAGATTCTTCTTTGCAAGCTGCGGCAAAGAGGAATGAGGAAAAGAGAGGTACTACACCTCCTGGCAGCAGCAGTAGGTGGCAAGGAGTGTGGACAGAAAGAGCAGTGGTGGGCTGCTAATGTTAGGGGCAGCAAGGGATGCATGGTTTGTTAGGCGGTGCTTGGCTCGGTTGCTTGCTACGTGAAAGGAAGAGGAAGCAAGGCAAGTAAGAGGAGAATGTGATTAACCGTGGGTTTTAAGAGAATAAGAGAAGAGAATTTCTGGTTTTGGTGTGAGTAATTGAGGAGGATTAAGGATCTATTTATAGTGTTTAGAGTGTGGAAGGGATAGAGATTAATGTATGATATGATTACTAGAAAACATGATAAGTTTTGGGGTTGTTAAAGTACTTGAACCAAATTAATTCTAGATTAATAGTTGGGTGTAAAAGATGAGTAGAAAAATTAGATAGAAGTTCATTTGATTGGAGGATTAGAAGAAGGA